GATTCCATAGTGTACTATTTCATTCTGAGCTCATGTTCTATAAAATCTTATCTGTCAGGATTCTGGGTTTAAATTATACTCCTCAACAAATGATTTGCATTGGCTCCTTCCAAGTTCTTGAGGTTATTATCAAGCCCAGATAGCATTAAACTACATTTTCATATTGGGGTTTATTTTTTTTTCCTCCAAGGTCACAGAAGTGGTGTGAATTCAGGATTTAAACTGGTGTGAGAATAAACTTGTTATGTGTTCTCAGGGGAGACTTTTCTTTCCCAATATGTACCTCCTTCACCCAGAACCAAGGCAGAGATAGGCACAAAGACCATCATTAACCTTTGGGAATCTGCTTATTTTTCCAAGCCCATCCACCGAAGATATATACTTTGAGAATTCTGGGATTAAGTTGGAGGGAAATGAAGTCTCTGATCAAACCTCACCATAAGATATTGCCTCCAATGTCACCTTCCCAGATTCCCAACACATAAAATTTAAAATCCAGCCTTTAAGCCAGCAGGAAGCAGCTAAGAACCAATCCTACCCCCACAACAAACATCTGTGTGGTATCATTCTGCATTCACTTCTTTTGTGTGTGTGTATGGTTTCTCGCTTCTGAGGAACTTCCTCACTTATTAGCTCAATCATTCACTGAAAAGATTAAATACTCTTTGCAGCATTTTAAGGTATCTTTCTGAATCTTTGTTCAGCCAGATGGCCCTGGTTTCTTCTATAAACTAGGAGCTGAGAGTCATATGCTGAGAATGAAGGGGCAAGAAATAGTTTGCTGGAGAGAGAAAAGGTTTGAAATGGGGGAAAGTGGGAAAGCAAATGACATAGTAAAGCACTAAATATTAAAGAGTTGATGGTACCCAGGAAAGTTCATAAGGATGGATCACTTGATAAGATTTATAGCCTTTGGGTATACGGTAGCCTTATATCTGATACATATTAGCCCAATAACCTTGGACAAATCACACCCTGTATCTACCTATATCATGGTGATTGTGAAGACAATTGTTATAAAAATCCAGCATTGAACTAAATCACTATTTCCAGCAAATAGTAATTGAGTCATGATGTGAAACTTATTTGTTTTACAGACTTATTTAACAGAATTTGTTGAAGCCAAATTAGCAAAGACCTACTTACTATGGGCCATTTGCTGTGATGTAAAAATAGTTTTGCCAAGCAAAACTTGAATATATTCAAGTGTCTTCATTAGTAATACTTTACCCGTGGTAATAAAAATTAACTTTTATCCAATTAAATCATGATAATCTAAGAGAATCTTAGCATTCATACCAACAGGCAATCTTTAAGGCAGAAAATATAAAGATCCCAGAAAGTACACAAATAATTTACCACAAAATGTTCATCAAAATCAAGTTAACCCCCAAATGTTAGATGGCTAAATATTTTCTAGTTTTGGCCTTTTCAAGAATATCATTTGATAATATATTCACCATTGATCTAGTTGCTATTAGATAAAAATATAATAAATTAACTTAATCTTAAGGAGTTTCCATGTTAGGTGGTCAAATGCTTTTGTGACAAATCACAGAACATTATAATGAAACCCAAGTACATGTAAATTAAGCTACACATTATTTGACATATCACCAATATTTGGAATAAAGTATTCATTGTCAGAACAATGATAGCATCCATGAATATAAGAGTTAAGATTCTGAATTTAATTTTCCTAGCTGGCATTGTGGCATTTTGGCATTGTGATTAAGTCACCATATTTATCCTGATTAAACAACAGGCATTCATGCTACAAAACTGTGAGAAAAAATGTCAATATGGGCCTTGAAAATGAATTCATTGATTTTGGGATATATAACAATGCTCAAAAGGCAGTATACTATTAACTCTTATCTTAAGTCCTTTTACTTGTTCCAGTGGTAGGTAGCATCAGTTTTTTTCAGATTATCTGTTTTAAAGATTGAAGTCTTTTCTGGTCAAAGTACAGGAGTAGAACCTTTCTCTGGTAAAGTACATGTTCTATTGATCATGCCAAAAAAAAGTTCAGTAGGTGTTTTTAGATTAGTGTACAGTGGGATTTTTCCCCCCTCAAGTATCTGCTTCCAGGAGATTAAGTTGAAAAGTCTAATTATTTCAGAAGGGTTACTTCTCCTTATCTCAATTCCACTCAAGTGTAGTCAACAAAAGAGTGACTTAGGCAGTCTTAACTTTTTGAAAACTTAATGAGTTTTGGAAGAACCACCAAAATGCATTCAAAGGAGTAATAGTTGTTTTTCTAACTTTATTTGTATTCTGCTCCATGGTTCTTTGTAAGTAAGTCCTTAAAGTTAGACTGTTTTTAATTATAAGAAATGTATGTAACAAATGCTTTAAAGAGGCCAAAAACAAAATGTAATTGGTATTTAATGACAGATAGTAAAGACAGAGTGATTTGGTAATCTAGAAGTACAACTATTTGAAACAGATATAGGGCCTTTCAGTTAAAAAAAAAAAAAAAAAAAAAGTCAAGTGTTAGTTTTGTTGTCACCAGATAGATCCTTACCATACTTCTGTAATACCAAGAACTCACTGAAAGAGTTTCATTAATTCAGAATGATCAATGGAATGTATACTTCCAGTTACTTGGAACTGATATAAAAATTTAAATTCAAATACTCTTTTAAATACAGATTCCTCTGGATTTTTTCTCATGAATAGGGAAATGATTTCTGGTCAAGATATCTCTCTTTAAACAGTTGAAAATTTGTTAAGTACAGTTATGGGTCTTAAAATTGTTAATGTGATCATGAAAAGACGAGTATAGACAAACTACACTCTTTTTAGGAGACACTGTGAAAGGAAAAAGTTTTAATCTATCTTTTCCAATTATATTTTCTAGGTTTATTGAGTTTTATTGCCTTTTGAAAAATGACATCACACAAAAGATTCATTTAACAGGAAGACTTTTAGACACTTAAAATCTTCCCTTGGAATATCAGTCTATTAAAAGTATGAAAACTCAATCTAGATATCATGCAGTTTATGCTGTAGAAGCATACTTTTAGAATTTTAAGCTTAACTATAAATGCTTTTTCTATTGCAATAGTGTTTAGCCACTTTGTGATTACCTCAAGGTGAGAAGTGTGACTGGGAGAGGGCACAAGGGAATATCCTGGGGCACCAGAAATGCTGTTTATCTTAATCCGGGTGGTAACATGAATGTAAGCATACATAAAATTTCATATCTGTATCCTTCAGATTTACGCCCTATGGCATAACTTATTTCTCCAAAAAATGTAAAAAAAAGAGTGTTTACTTTATGAAATGCCTACTCTTTTACAGGAATCATTAATATAATTTTATAAGTCAAAATGTATACGGGAAAAACAAATTATCTGATGCTTATGGCATAAGGATTACTGGTCATTTTCAGGTAAATTATATCTGAAGCTAGAGTTAAGCTTCAGTAATGAGAGGTCACTGGTATTCTATCAGAAATGGTGTCAGGAAGAATACAGTGTATCAATTTAACTATAAAGGACAGAAATGCTATAACAGCTTTAACAACAACTCAAGATGAGAGCATCATTAAATAAGTGACAGGACTCTGGCATAATTATTTGGCTTATGATTGCCCATTTTTTTTTTTTTTTTAATTTTTGCTTTTCACTGCCTGGGTTTTGCCTTATTTTTGCTTGGACTTCCAAAGTATAGGGAAGGAAAAGAATTCAAGTTAAATTAGTTTTGTTATTTATTTACAACTGTTGTTTTTAATGTGGTAAAAAGCTGAAGTTATGACTGTAATTTGAAAATTATGCATTCTACTTTCCATCTATTATAGGAGAAAAGAGTTGGTTTATGAAGGAAATATAAACAACCTGCCTCAAATGTGTTTTTACTTTTGCTCAGAACTATGTTAATTCTCATCACCTCCAAAAGCCTTTGAGAGGATTAGCTGCATAGACCAATATTGTTCTATATTAGTCAGTATTAAGCATATGATGTCACCTTGTTTCCTCCCCTCCTCAAGTCTTTTTTTTTTTTTTAAGTGGGGGGAGGGGAGAGGGAGTGTTTTGGGCGATTCTCAAAATTCTGTGGCTTAAATACCACTAGCTGACACACCTGATTGACAACCTTACACTCTCAAACCTGTTTGAAATGGGTCAAATACCTAAGCGCTGCAGAACAATGCAATCTAACCAGCAATTCCCCATAAGAGAGAAAGGGGGTGTGATTAGGTTCCAGCTATTAAGCAAGTTATTGCAAAAACAGTTTAGTGGTTTGTTTCTGCAACAGTCACAGGTTAAGCTAGTATTTTCTATCTTAATTAGCTCCAAGAAAACCCCGGTAGGCTGTAAGAGGCAGGATAAATAGCCAAAGCTCGGAGCAAGTGGGGCAAACATTAAGAGCTTTATGGAGGTCTTTATACTGACCCTCGGCTTTGGTTATTGATCATTAACCCTGCTGGGGAACTATCGAACGGAATTTGTTTGAGGCTTATCGAGCCACAGGAAAGGAGATGCAGGAGGGAATATAAGCTTCTAATAAAAGAAACGCAGCAACAATAGCAGAGGAACAGCTCTGCCTGGTGACGTAATGGCTGGCAGCAGTCCAGCTTCAGCAGAGCTGCTGCTACCTCAGCATCCAACCTCTCTCAACACAGTCCAGCTTCGGCAGAGCTACCGGGGCTGCTAGTTCTTGCGATGCCACTTTGTTGGTGCCACCAACACCTTACCTTGGAGGGCCAAAACACCGAACAAAGGGTTGTCCTGTTTTAAGTTGTCGGAACCCACACTCTCACTCACTCAATCCCGCCAGCTTCTCAGGAACCGAGTCAATCCGCCGCTTAAGTTTAGGGTGAGCACACTGGCGCACACTCCAGGCGTGCCTCAGTTTCCCCAAGCTGCTCTCGGGTCCGCCTGGAACTGCCCGGTCCCCCTCCCCCTCCCGCCCCCCCCCCGCCGATCCTCAGCCCGAGTTGATCGCAGCAGCCCCGCTCACCCGCCCGGCCCCGCATGCGGGTCCTCCCGCCTTACCTCCGCCAGGTAGAGGTTGAGGAGACAGAGCGTGGAGAACTGGAGACAGGAGGGGAAGCAGTAGAGCAGCCAGTGGGGGAAGAAGTGCAGGTGAGCGGGCGGCCGGAGCAGGGGCAGGGAGCCGCTGAGAGAGAAGGCGGCGGAGAAGAGGGTGGTCCTGAGCGCTGCCCACAGGAGACAGAGGAAGAGGCAGAGGCTCTGGTAACTCAGCCGCCGCTCCCGGTACAGGAGCAGCCGCCACAGCTGCAGGTAGGCAAAGGCGAAGAGCGCGGCGTAGAGCAGGGCGTGCAGGATGCTCAGCGCCAACTGCACCGAGCCCGGCACCGCGGCGCCTGAGGCGGCAGCGACGGCGCCTCCGCCTCCGCCTCCGGGCGTCGAGGGCTCGCGGCCGGCAGCCGGACCCGGCACGGACACCCTCATGAGGGGGCTGGGGGTCAGGAGAGAGAGCGCGGGAAGGAAGGGGCCGGACTCAGAGCCGCCGTCGAGGGGGAGAAAGATTTCTCCCTTACCCCCCACCCACCCCAACCTCCAACCCCAGGAAGCGCCGTGACAGGACCCGGAGCCCCGCGCAGAGCAGTCGCGGCTCCCCGGACCCCGCCTCCTCTCCCCGCCCCCCCGGGGGGTCTCGGCTCCTCCTGCTGCGGCTCGGCTCGGTAGCTGCAAAAAACAACTCTCGGCTGGAGACAATCAGCTGAGAAACCCGAGCATTTGAGGCGCTCGCTCCGCACCGTGGGCTCGCGCGGATTGGCCCAGGCGGGCACGCCCCCTGCGCACCGCGCTCGGAAGGCCACGGGCCACAGGACCCGTCGCTCGAAGGCTCCAAGATCTGATTGGGCATCCGCTTTCCTCACTTTCTCCCTCCCTTTTACTCCCCACCCACATTGCCGATTGGCCCAGCAACTGCACCGCCAGCTCGCGCCGGCGGGAGGACTCGGTGGTCGCCTGTCACCTGGGGCGGCTCTCGCTCCTCCCCCTGAGCTTTCCATTGGTTGGAGAGGTCGCACGTAGGGAGCACGAGGAGGGGGAGGAGCCTTGGGGGTTGTTTTTTGCTCAGCAGGCCGACCCTACCGTGCGGTGGTGGCCGCAGGCGCTGAGGTTGGGTATGCTGCACCCTAGTAGTTAGGCGGTGCAGTTCGTCGCTGCCCGCCAGCCGGTGGGGGCCCCACCTTCTGCCTCTTCTTCACGTGGCGGGCACTGTCGGCCGCTGGAACCGTCTGGGTTCTTCTGGGTAGGTCTTGCCGCTGGTCTCGGGCAGGTGAGTGGCAGCGGAGGTCCTTCCTTGAAGGGGCTGTGGTTTCTGCCTGCCGGGATGGGGGTTCAGCCTGGCGGCTGTCCCCCAGCAAGGGCTGCTCCACTGAGCTCTGGGGTCTGGCTTAAAAGGGCCTCACCTGCATCCTTCTGAGGGGCATTTTGCTTTCTTCTTTTCCCCCAGCATGAGCAGCGAGAAAAACGTGAGCCCTTTGTGGGGAGAGGGGACGGAATGAGAAGAGTGAAATGAAGCTTTAAGCAAACTTCTTCCTCGGGGGAGGACGAGTGATATTAGGATGAGGTGGATGTCCACAGGAGATGTGAATAGGGGGGATGTGGGTCTTTGAAACTTAGAATTTGAAAGGATGCTCTGAGCACAAGTGTAGGGAAGAAGGCAGAAAAAGAACTGTAAGTCTGATGAATGTCTAGGGAGAAAAAAGTAGAGTAGTTTGTGCTTAAATTCCACATATATTCCTTCAGTCCTTAGTCCTGTACTTGGTGGATGGTGGCGCTCTTCTTGAGGCTCAGAGAGGTACAAAACAAATGCTATATTATGTTATTGCTGTACATAGCGAGTAGATCTTCCAACGTGTGTTGGACTGACGACATTTGCTGATTTTTTTCTTTTTAGCGTTTGGCAATAAAATGAGCAAAGTAATGCAGAATGATGAGAAAACAATTTATATTCTCTTTAGAGTGAGTGGCACGTCACAAATTCAGTATCCTTTTGAAAGTCACTGCTACATTTACTGGTGCAGCCAAGACTCAGCCTTCGGTAACTTACCATTCTTTGTCCTAACTCTTTGCGTAAGAAGACTTTGCTACCTTCTTTCCTAGCGAAGTGATCCACAGGGAACTGTAAAGTCTATTTTGTACTACAGAGTCTGGGACACTGCTTCACCCAGGCACCAGATGCTGATGTGTTTTGGATTCTTTATAGGTATATTGACAAACTGTGATGTTTAGGCTTGGCTTAATTATGTGGATCTCTCAGATAAAACATTCAGCCCAGCAGGGTGTACAGTGTAGCCTAGAGCAGGGTACAACTTGTTGAAAGAGATAGGTCTGAGTTAAGCAGTTGTGTGCTTTAGCTTGCAATTTGCTTTTTAAAAGGGAAATTATTATATTTTAAAGATTTTATTTATTTGAGAGAGAGCAAGCATGAGCGCAAGGGAAAGGGAGAAGTAGACTTCCCACTGAGCAGGGACCCTGGGATCGTGACCTGAGCTGCAGGCAGCCGCTTAATGCACTGGGCCCCCCAGGTGCCCCTTAAGCTTGTAAATTAAGCAGGAACTCAGAGTTCTGTGATTTTAGGCACTCATCAAAATCAGGAGAACCTCCTGTTCCCTGACATGCCTATTTTTGTATCTTCTATAATGATGAGGTACATGTTTCGTTCACGAATAGACTTTCACCGTGAACTGGTTTTTCTTTTTCTCTGGTATTCTCTATTCAAAGTTATGGTAAACAATATCTGGATAGTACCCATACTAGTTTGAGGTCTTTGCTTGTTAACTTTTTTATTTCAGAGCATGTCCAGATAGTTTTTTTTTCCCCCTCTTCCTCTTTTGGGGGTGCATGAGGGCTGCAGATAGGGGATTTGCCCCAACTGCCTTGAAGAAGCTCTGAAGTAGAGAGAGGTTGACTCCTTTTATTGCTTCCATTGAATCTTAAATGATAAACTTTTTTTTGTTTGTTTGTTTTGTTTTGTTTTTAGAGGTCACAAGTAGGCAGAGAGGTAGGCAAAGAGAAAGGGGGAAGCAGGCTCCCTTCTGAGCAGAGAGCCCGATGCAGGGCTCGATCCCAGCACCCCGAGATCATGACCTGAGCCGAAGATAGAGGCTTAACCCACAGAGCCACCCAGGTGCACCTTAAATGATAAACTTTGATGATATCTAATCAAGAGTTTATTTAAAGCTGGTTCAATGAGCAGGTTTTCTCCAGTAGTAGCATTAAACTATAAGCTAATTTTTGCCAGAATGTTCTTACAGGAAGTTTGTAAGCATTATATGCTCCATTTGTTGCAAAATATGAAATGTGTCTTTTCTCAGAGAATGATGCCCCCAGACTTGGTATAATTTGTTTAATGTTCATAGTTGTTAATTTCCTCTTTTTCTTGAGAGAGAAAACTTTTAGTTTTATGGTTAATCATAAGGGAAATTTAAGTCTATCAAGGGAAACTAACCAAGGTCATCTAGAAAAGCTTGCTGCTTGATATTCCAAAATTTGAAATGTGTCCAAATGCAGAGTGGTTGAATATTGTTTTCTAGGAGGGAACATTACTCCAGCACAATGGTCTTTCAAACATTTCAAAGCAGAAGAACTATTTGCCAAGTTTTATTATAAACAGGACCCAATCCCAAAATGGGATTGTTCTAACTGTAGAGAGTCACCAGCTGCTCCAGCTGTGGAACACTGGAAGGCAGATCCTTCCCCTACCCCTCACTAGCAGGAAGATGAATGTTTTTCTGTTGAAATTCTTCCTCCTCATTGCCCTCTGGGGACTCTCAGTATTTTGGTGCTGAGCAAAATTTTGTTGCCTTTTTTTTTTTTTTTTTTTTTGTAAGTTGGCTTCATGCCCACCGTGCAGCCCAATGCAGGGCCAAATCCACAACCCTGACATCAAGACCTGAGCTGAGATCAAGAGTTGGTTGCTTAACGGACTGAGCAACCCCAGGGCCCCCAGATTTTGTTGCCTTTTATTTACTGTTTCTATTTGCAAGCTTTAACCCTTTTTGTACTACAGCTTCATTGTTCCAACTCACAGTGTTTGTCACTCTCTTATATTTGTCCTTAGTTAAATGTCACACGTTTTTTCCAAACTTTTTTTTTTTTTTTTTTTTTTTTTAAGTAGTCTCCATGCCCAGTATGGAGCCCAATGTGGGGCTTAAACTGAGATCAAGAACTGCTTAACCTATTGAGCCACCCAGGTGCCCCTACCAACTTTTTTTTTTTTAAGATTTTATTTATTTATTTGACAGAGAGACAGTGAGATAGGGAATACAAGCAGGAAGTGTGGGAGAAGGAGAAGCAGGCTTCTCGCTGAGCAGGGAGCCCGATGCAGGAATCCATCCCAGGACCCCGGGACCACGACCTGAGCCGAAGGCAGACACTTAACGTCTGAGCCACCCAGGCGCCCTGCCCCTACCAACTTTTAAATGGTACAGGTAGGTGTACTTGTTTAGAGTTTAGGGATGAGGCAAAAGTTACATCTTGCATAACAACTCTGATTAGTGCTGACAGGAGCATTATACTGATGAACTGAAGGCCCCCTCTAGGCTCAAAGGGTATGAGTCTGCATGTAGTTGGGCGATATATATGTGTGGTATAGGTAAACATTTGCCTATGACTTCCTTCTTTTGGTATTGGCACCTGTTGTGGTTATAGTCTGTTGCATTTGAAAGAGTCCTCTTCATTCGTAGAATTATCCTACAGAGAAATTGGGTCAATTTCCTGTGAATTCTTTGATATTTACTGCTTTGAAAACACAGTGTATGTATTTATGTTCAAGTCACTTTCCTCTTAGCTGTTATTAAAACCAATAAGTCTAGGCTGGGTTGTACTGTAATAACAACCCCCCAGACTTAAGAGATTTAACACAACAATGTTTAATTTGTGTTCACTGTGGGTTGGCTGGGAGCTTTGCCCCATGTTGTCCTCTTTCTGAGACTAGGTTTAGCAGAGAAGGCTACATTTTGAGTATTATCATTCATCATAGCAGAAGAAAAATGTGTTGTGGGTCATGAAAATATATTGACTAGGAAAAACTCCCGGAAGTTACATATGTCACTGCACATTTCATTGGCCAAATCAAGTCATGGCTATACCTAATTCAAGGAATTGGGGAAGTATAATCTTAACATGTGTAGAGAACTAGAAGCATTTGAACAGTCCACCCTTTTTGTGAACAGATACTCTCCTTCTTACCTGTAGTTCATCCTTGGCCCTCCCAGTGGACATAACCTCCAAATCCTATCCAGTCACTATATCAAGTTCAAAGTCCAGGATCTCTGACTAATGCCCAGTAGTGCTAATCTCTAACCAGTCTAGACATTATAATTTATCTGTTTCCCACTCCCAGTTGAATACATAGGATAGCGTAGGGACAAATACGAATAAGTGTTCCAATTTGGAGAGGGGAGGAATGGAAGACACATACCAGACTTGAACTCTGAAATCTCACTGGGCAGATATTGCCAGGGCTCTTCT